ATAGCTTTTCTGTGCCTTTCTCTTTTTCTACTTTTTTCTACTTATGCTTCAGATGGTATTGCTCTTCTATTTTAAGGAAAATTGCTCTTCTATCTTATAGAAAATATTTTTCAGGTGTGATTCAGGCTTCTTTTGTCCTGTATTAGGCACAGCAGATATGATTATTTGATGAAGTATATATAAATGAAAACTAGAAGTTGAGGTGGAAGAGCTGATTTTTCAAAGTGCCATAGAATGCCAGTATCAGGGCCAGAACCCAATTGCTCCTCTCTGATTAAAGATCCTAGATTTGTTTATTGGTTCTGTTGTCCTTCTCCATTGACCAGTCTCTGAGGGAGAACAGTGGCTGAGAAACAACAATAACTAGTTTAGATATTCTAGGACAGATCTGGCTCTGGGAACTCTATCTCTTTCTGCAAAGTACCCTTTGAAAGTCCAGTGGCATTCTGAAGGGAAGGGATTAGAATTCTTCATCACTTATCTATTAGTTAGTCAATCAATATGTATCTACTATGTCAGTTATGGTGGGTATACAGAGGTAAATGCAAATAAACCTTTCATTATTATTTTTTTAAAAATATATTTTATTGATTTTTCACAGAGAGGAAGGGAAGGGGATAGAGAGCCAGAAACATCAATGAGAGAGAAACATCGATCAGCTGCCTCTTGCATACCCCCAAGTGAGGATGTGCCCGCAACCAAGGTACATGCCCTTGGCCGGAATCGAACCTGGGACCCTTCAGCCCTCAGGGCAACGCTCTATCCACTGAGCCAAACCGGTCAGGCGAACCTTTCATTATTGAGAAAAACTTTTCTAAGAACTTTTTTATATTCCTTTCTAATCCTCACAACCATCATTCAAGAGAAGAATTGTTCTCTCCGTTTTACAGATGTGTAAACTGAGACTCAGAGATATAAAATGATTTGCCCAAAGTTGCACAATCAGTAAATAGCTGAATTGAGATTTTTAACTCAGGTCTGTGTGGTTCCAAACATTCTCTTTCTGTTATGGCATATACTGTCCATTAATTCCTCCTTCCATGAGCAGGACTTGGTCTCTGCCTGTAAAAGATTTACATGTACACAAAATATCACATATTAGATTATTGCATTCATATGAAATGTCCAGAATAGGCAAATCTATACAAATAGAAAGTAAATTAATATTTTTCTAGTGCTAGAGATAAGGGGGTGGGAATGATTGCTAGTGGGTATAGGATTTCTTTTTGGGATGACAAAATGTTATAAAATGGTGATGATGGCTGCATGCCAGGACTGACTGGCAGAACCTGAGTGATGGATGAATGGATTACTCTGACACATGTTTCTGTGAAAGAGAGGGCTAAGGGACTGCTTGGCTATAGGAACCAAACAGAGCCATTTGCCTGCCTCCTTAGGCTTTTATTGTAACAACAGCTTGAACTACTAGTAAAATTAACTATTAGATACAATCAGCAGGGTAAGTATCCTTGAGAAAGCACAAGCTTCTACAAGGTTGGGTCTAAAGTCTAAACATAGAGATTCTAGTAAAACACCCAGGGACTGAGGCTTGTTTGGAAAAGTCAAAGCAGGGGCTGTCGCCTTTGGCAAGGTCCCCCGAGGGGCCGCTGACCTTTCAGAGAATCCTCCTTACAAACTTTCCAACCAAGTCCCATGCTTCCCCACAACTGCACAACTCTGTAACTATACTAAAGTTATTAAATTGCACACTTTAAATGGGTGAATTGCATGCTATGTGAATTAACCTCAATAAAGCTGGTGTGCGTTTCTTTGTTGTTGTTTGTTTTTTAAATAAGATTAACAGTGTAGTAAGGAAGACAGATCTATAAATCGCTAACCTTATACCAGGCAACATGAAAACAGATATGAACAATGCACCCTGGAAACTGAGGGAAAGGTAGAGTTGTTAATTTCAAGGGACTGGACAATGCCTTTATAAAATAGGGGGAATTAGAGCTGAATCTTAGAGCCAACTTAGAATATTGGCACGCAGAAGAGAAGACTTTGAGAAGAGAATGGACGCATGAGCAAAATACAGGTACATGTAAGGATATGGTTTTTCTGAGAGAATGGCAAGTCACCCACTTGAAAGTTGATGAAGGGCAAGTGGGGGATATAAAGGGGCATGGCGTTGGAAAGGGATCTGACCTTAAAATGATGTGCTAAGGAGTTAGGCATTATTCTATATATTATGGGGAAGCTTTTTCATGTTGAGAGAAAGTATATTTTATTTTTTTTATTAAATCTTTATTGTTCATTACATTTGTCCCCTTTCCCCCCCAAGAATAGTCAGTCCATTCCCTTTCTATGTCCCTGATTCATTATAATCACCAGTTCATTCTGTACATCAGATTATTTATTCACTTGGTTCTTAGATTCACTTGTTGATAGATGCATGTTTGTTGTTCACAATTTGTATCTTTACCTTTTTCTTCTTCCTCTTCTTAAAGGATACCTTTCAGCATTTCGTATAATACTGGTTTAGTGGTGATGAACTCCTTTAGCTTTTCCTTATCTGTGAAGCTCTTTATCTGACCTTCAATTCTGAATGATAGCTTTGCTGGATAAAGTAATCTTGGTTGTAGGTTCTTGGTATTCATCACTTTGAATATTTCTTGCCATTCCCTTCTGGCCTGCCAAGTTTCTGTTGAGAAATCAGCTGACAGTCGTATGGGTATTCCCTTGTAGGTAATTGAGTCTCTTTCTCTTGCTGCTTTTAAGATTCTCTCTTTGTCTTTTGCTCTTGGCATTTTAATTATGATGTGTCTTGGTGTGGTCCTCTTTGGATTCCTTTTGTTTGGGGTTCTCTGCGCTTCTTGGACCTGTAAGTCCATTTCTTTCACCAGGTGGGGGAAGTTTTCTGCCATTATTTCTTCAAATAGGTTTTCAATATCTTGCTGTCTCTCATCTTCTGGCACCCCTATTATTCTGATGTTGGTACGCTTGAAGCTGTCCCAGAGGCTCCTTACACTATCTTCGTATTTTCGGATTCTTTTTTCATTTTGCTTTTCCGGTTGGGTGTTTTTTGCTTCTTCGCATTTCAAATCTTTGACTTGATTCTTGCGCTCCTCTGGTCTGCTATTGGGTGTCTGTATAATATTCTTTATTTCAGTCCGTGTATGCTTAATTTCTAGTTGGTTCTTTATCATAGCATCGAGGGTCTCATTAGTTTTCGTGACTCTCTCCTCAAGTTTATTGACAGCTTCTAGCACATTTTTGCAAGCCCTCAAAATTGCGATTTTTAGCTCTATATCCTCCATTTCTGTCATGTTTTTTTGTCTCCGCATTTTTTATGCTTTCTTGGTGCACCCTCTAGTGGTCTTTGTGCGCAGTCTTGTTCTAGTTGAGCCTTGATTGTTGTAGTTAATACTAGAGGGATTTGACCACCAGGCCGACTGGCTGTGTGAATCAGCTGTGTCTGCCGCGGAAAACTTCTGTCCTCTGGGGAGGTGCTAATCTAGCCTTTGCCTGAGGCGATCCGGCAAATGGCTCTGCGCAGGGCTTGGGCGGGGCGGGCTCAACAGGGCGGGCGGAGGGAGCCGTTATGGTGCCCTCAGTCCTGTTCCCAGAGGCTCTGCTTCTCAGAACCCCCGGAACCGCTGCAAACCTCGGAGGGAAAGCTGCCTTCCAACTGATGCCAGACACTCCCGCTTCTCCCGTTTGGGTCCGAGTCCCCAGCGATTCGCCCGTATCTGGAGCTCAGAGTCTGAGACTCCCCCCTGACCGAAAACGACAACCGCGCTCTCAGCCACCAGCCCGCTTTGCGCGCGCACCTCCGCACCTGAGTTTTTTCCACACTGCGCCTCCTCTGAGCCTCGGTGTGCTGTTATTTTTCCTTCTAGTTGAAGAGTCTCTCCTCAGCCAGCCTTCCTGTGGTTCTGGGTGATGTCCGTTCCGTCTTTTAGTTGTATTTTTGAAGTGGTTGTTTGCGGCAGCAGTCTCCGGTGTTTACCTATGCCGCCATCTTGCCTCCTCTCCGAAAGTATATTTTATTTTGTAACTTCTTTTCAGCTTTATTGAAGTACTAGTGTCCCAGTGCATGAAATTCATGCACATTAAAAGGGAATTAATTAGAGGAAATATTTTAATATTGCTATTTGCCCTTTCTCTATAATAGAAGTGTCTGGCCGGCCCCACCCTCATTGAGCAACACCAAGACCCGGCCGGCCCTACCCCCATCAAGCGTGGGACTCAGCCTCACGTCCCGGAGCTGGGGCAAAGGTTGTGGCCTCAGGTCCCCCAGCTCCGGA